CCATAATCACATTGCTGAAAATCAGTGGTAAAGAGAAAACCTTAGGGGGATGGGAGAGGAAAGCACATTTATTATAGGGGAAGAAATATAAGAATAAAAACAGACTTCTTGTTAGAGACTATGCAAGGCAGAAGACTATGGCATGTCATCTTTAAAGTAATAGAAAGAATAACCTCACCAATCTAGAATTCTTTAAAGAGTGATAAAATTTTTCAAAATAGAAGTTAAGAAACCCTTTCAGCAAGCAAAAGCTGAGAGGATTCATTGAAAGAAGACCCACACCATAAGAAATGTTAAAGGAAAGTTATAGCAACAAAATGGTGGAATAAGAAGCTCCAAGTTTTTGTTCCCTTGAAAAACCGTGAAAAAGCATTCAGAAGCTGTCTGAACCAGCTTCATAAGAGCTCTGGAAAATAAAGTTTATGGAAACCAAACAAGTAACCAATGAAGAAAAAGCCATCCTCAAAATATTGGGAAATTTCATGGCATTTTTATTCACTCTTGCTCTGTCCCCTCCTATGTTATGACAGGACTCTTGGTCTTGAGCAGTGGCAACCCAGTTCTCACTTACCTTCATTGAACTAGATAGAGCATAGCAAGACCTTTTGTGAAAATCATTGTGTGTGTGTTTTAACTTTGCTGGGTGGATACATGAAGGACTGACTAGTTCAGCTCTGTCTCAAATAACTTGGAATGCAGGTTGGTCAGTTAGGTCCCTGTCTAACGAGTCTGGCTCTATTTTAAGATACTTTCTCAGAAGATTCTCCCAAAAATTTCCAGTTATGTGTAGTTGGCCAGAAACTTGTCACATAGTTAACCTTCAAAGGAGGTTGGAAAATGTAGCTTAAAAAAAAAAAAGCAGGGGACATTTCTGCCTAAATGCTAAAAACAAAATTTATGTTCATGAGATCATATATGTTGTGGTAAGACAATTATTAGTCTCTGTCATAGAGAACAAGAAACAAAGTAGAAGAGTAATGTTTGAGAGGAGATAGTAGTAGCTTGTGCTACGGTGGTAGGGTTGATGGTGAGATGTGATTGGACATTTGGCATATATATATATATATATTTTTTTTAATTATGTTGATTGTTTCCTTCACTGTGCAGAAGTTTGTTTTTTTTTCTACAAATAGTTTATTGTCAATTGGTTTTCATATAACACCCAGTGCTCATCCCCACAAGTGCCCTCCTCCATGCCCATCTCACTACTCCGCCCCCATACCCATCAGTCTTCAGTTCTCACCATTCAAGAGTCTCTCATGGTTTGCCTCTCTCCCTCTCCCTCACTATTTCTCCCTTTCTTCTCCCCCATGGTCCTCCGTTAAGTTCCTCCTAATCCTCCTATACGTGCAAACATATGACATGGATGGACCTTGAGGGTGTTATGCTCCTAATCCTCCTATACGTGCAAACATATAACATGGATGGACCTTGAGGGTGTTATGCTGAGCGAAATAAGTCAGACAGAGAAGGACACTTGGTATATTTTGAAGGCAGCAACCACAGGGCTTAATGCTGGATTAGATATGGTAAGGAGGAGAGAAATAAAGAGTGTAACTTAAGTTACTAGCCTAATAATTCAGTAGATGGTAATACCATTAACTGAAGTGAGGAAAGATAGAGAAAGGCCAAGGTTTTGTGGGGGTTTTGGGAGGGGAGGGTGGGGAGCAGTCTTGGTAGTCCAGAATTCTATTTTGTATATGTATATTTGAAATGCTTATTATACAACTAATTGGATATCAATACTTTTTGATTATCTCAAGATACTATTTAGAATCTTTTCCAAGGTTCACCCTCTACTCATATTCCTCAGAAACCTCTCTATTTACTCTGGGGTTTGTTTTGTTCATATTGATTCTTCACTTGCATGTATTGATTTTCCTCATATATCTGGTGAACTTTGTTGGCTCATTTTATATTTGTGAATGAAGGAATATGTTAATTGTATAGGCATGCTCTGTGTGACAGGCAGACTTCCCTGGAGGGTATATGGGGATGGAAGAGGGTAGGCAGGATTGCTGGGGACCCAACATTTCCGGAGAACCCATGTGTTTCTCTCCTAGATGGAACTTCCTTTTCTTTCTTTTTATACCTTTCTGTTACCTGATGTGGAAATGTAAGTGACAGCAAACTCTACTCTGCTTCCTCATTAAGGCTCAAAACTCATAGGATTTCCACCTACACAGATAACATACTTTCTTTAGAAAGCAGGGGTTTTTTTCTTTTCTGATGTTTTGGGTGGGTGACTGGGAAAGTCAGTGCTGCCAGCAACATATGCTCTGTATTCTCTGAGATACAGAAGATCCAGCTGTTCTCAATACAGCTCTTTAATTAATATCTGACAATTACACCATCATCTGATTCTCTTTGTATATGCTGACCTTGAATTTATTGCTTCTCAGGCCCACCTGAGTTCTGTTGTTTAAGGCTCTAATTTTCTTGACGGGGATTTTCATTCAATCGATCCCATCTTGTTTCATATTTTCTAACTTTTCTCAACTTTCCAAATCCTAGTATCTCACCTTATTGATTTCCAGTATTGCCATGGGATTTTTCTTTTTGAAATATTGTTTTCTTTAATTTGCTGAAACCTTGGGAAGTAGAATAGACCCACATGTTCAGTCCATCATCTGAAAGCTCCTTTTGGTTTGTTTTATTGTCCTTTTCTAGCTTCCTGAGATGAATGCCTAAAGCATTTTTCCCTCAGTATAAATGTATCAGAGTTTTTTAAATCAATAGTTCATCTGAATAATAATACAGAGTTAAACAGAATATAAGTTAATAACGTCCTCTTTCCTCTCCTCCAGAGATGTTAGCATTTTATATCCTTTCACACATCTTTTCATGCTTAAATTAGGGAGGACTTTTTGTTTGTGTCAAAAAGGACATCATATATATATATATATATATGTAAATATATATATATATTTACAGTTCTTCCATTTCCTTGTCAAACATATTTGATTTATTTTTAATTTTTCTACTAAATTTATTTAAAATAATGAGATTTCAAATGTTAGAATTTAAATTTTTAAAAAAATTCTTATGTTCATTTGAGAGATAGACTGTAAGTGGGGGAGAGGCAGAGAGAGGGAGACCGAAATCCAGAGCAGGCTCCCGGCTCCAAACTGTCAGCACAGAGCTGTGAGATCATGACCTGAGCCAAAGTTGGGTGCTTAGTCAGCCAACTGAGCCACCCAGGTGTCCCTAGAATTTAAACTTTTTAAGGGAAATTCAAGCAAAGAAAAAAACAAGCAAAAGAACAAGTGTGGAAAAGTCTGAGATATATTTCAAGAACTCAGAGTTAGAAACATTTGTCTGAAAGGGAGAAATTATAATGGGGTATATTGAGAAACTTGTAGAAATAATTTAGTTATTGTGTTAGGGCAGTGAAAAACAGCAAAAGTGGTAAGGTGCTGAAAATTTAAGAATAAGGTTGTATTGTTAACTGCTTAATATTAATGAACACTTAAACCAAAAGTATTACTTATGGAAACATCATTCATTGAACTGTTATTTTCATTAACTTGATATATAATGAATCTTCTGTCTAAAGGAGATAGTATATCAGAAAGTGGTTTGTAGTACTAAGTACTCTCAAAGAGACGGCATCAAGTTTTTTCTAGATGAGTTGGCAGTATGGATGCACATTACTGTAGTCTTGATTGTGTGATGGAAAATTTAGGACACCTAAATTTAAGCTACTAATCATCTGGGTAACTTGGGGCAGCAAACCTCAACTTCAGATTCTTGTATAAAACAAGGAGTAGAAGCTTTTAATCTTTATGAGGTCCCAACAGTTTATTTTTGCTCTTGATTCCCTTGCTTTTGGGGATGTGTCAAGTAAGAAGTTGCTGTGGTGGAGGTCAAGGAGGTTGTTTCCTGCTTTCTCCTCTAGGGTGTTGATAGTTTCCTGTCTCACGTTCAGGTCCTTTATCCATTTTGAGTTGATTTTTGTGCATGGTGTGAGAAAATGATCTAGTTTCATTCTTCTGCATGTTGCTGTCCA